TACAAACTCTTATAGTGTGGTGGCCTTGTGAGCATCTTCTATTGGTTTCAGCTCATACCAAAAAAAGAAAGGACATGTCTCCAGGATCCTCTAGAGAATGTTTTTTGTTCATTACCTTATACTGCACCTAATAAGATAATGTGATTATAATTCTATATGTGCAATTGTATTTATTGATTACTTGTCATACGTAACATATTTAGCTGGAATATAGGTCCTCCTCTCAGGAAACTCATCATTTGATAGATGTGGCAATAGCAGTAATTCTTGTGTTTTGAGGGGACTACATAGTTCTTATGCAGTTTGGCTTTCAGCAAGCCACTTCTTTGTGCTCCACAAAGTGGGTCTATTGGCAGCTTTGCTGGTTGAGATAATGTATGTAATGCATCTAGTACATACAGTACTTAGTATCTGATACATGATAGATGCTCAGAAGATGACAACTATTAATTTTCTAATATTTTTCAGATTTACATTGCAGTTTGATAAGTAAAATTGTATTAAATTGTTAAAGTGTCCCTTTGAGCTTACATTTATCACTTTTTCATAAATGAGTTAACTGGTACTCAGATATGTTAAGTTTCTTGCCCAAGATTGCCAGTCAGGTCCTAAAACTTGTCTTCACTCATAGAGCTACTTCACCATGAACATACAAGTATGTTCAAACAAAATACTACAGGATTGATAAGTCAGGAAATGAGATGGCTTTAAGGATTGCTGCAGCACAAATAAAAATTACAAAATATTGATACCTTTGTGAAGGGAAAACAAACCAATGAACTGTGTTTGTGTTAGGCACTGAGTGATCCAAGCCTTATGTTTTTCTTGGCTTAGTCTGATAAACAGCACCAATGCCTGCAGTAATCAGCTGTTCATATAATCTAGGAGGCTACTTACAGGGTTATGTGTTGGGATATCTTTGCATTATATTTAGTGACCTGTGTGTGTTTGGTTAGAAAAAGAACGAAGTTGAAAGAGGAGTTTGGATTTCAAGTTTGGCAGTAATCATTCACAGTGAACAATTTTATATACCATTATTTATAAATGGAAATTAATCTTGTAGCCATTCAGATCATGGACAAAAAAAAAAAGGTTTTTGAAATACTTTTAGTTGATCAGTTACTTGATAAAATTATGCAAGATTCTTGATCTTTTTTGAAGGATTATATATAGGTCATTGTTGGAGGAAATGGTATTTTGAGTTGGTCTTGTAGAATGAGTAAGATTTCTTCAAGTGAAGAAGGGTGGAAGGTCATTACAAATAGAGGACACGATGTATTCAAAGAGGATGAGTTACGTGGATGTCTAGAGGAGGAGCACCAAGTAGAAACCAAAGGAGAGGCTATAGTTCTGAGGCAGAAACATGTCTGGCAGTTTTGAGAACAGCACCAGAGACCACTGTAACGATAGAGGGGTAAGAGTGATGGGGAGAATAGTAGGTAAATTCAGAGTTTCCTATTGTTTAGGGTCTTGTAAGCCATTATAAGGATGTTGGCTTTTATTTTGAATGAGATTGGGAACCATAGGATTGTTTTGAGCTGATATGATCTGACTTGTGTTTCAGAAGAAGTTTGGCTGCTCTGATGAGAATAGATTGTAGGGGTAAGGGCTGAGACAAAGAGACCAGTTAGAAGGCTATTCTAGTAATTTACATAAGAGTTGATAATGGCTTGGACAGGAGAGTTGGTGGAGTTGGTGAGGAATGGAAAGTAGAGTTATCAGGATTTGTCAGTGTGTTAGATATAGGGTATGAGAGAAAAGAGTCAGGGATAACTTGTATTTTTGGCCTAGGTAATTGGAATGGAAAACTTGTTTACTGAGATGGAAAAGACTGGGAAGAAAAAGTTTGAGGAATGGTAAAAATTAAGAGGTTTTTTGTTGTTGTTCATGTTAACTTAGGGGTGCCTATTTGACACTCAAATGAAGAAGGTGAATAGACAAGTAGATATATAAATCTGTAGTTCAAAGGTATGATAAGAGTTGGGAATATAAATTGGGAGTTATAGGCATATAGAAGGTATTTAAAGTCATAAGACTAGGTAATATACCAAGGACGTGAACAAGATTTTTTGTTTTAAAGAGAGAGAGAAAGTCTCAGCATCTGTGCTTTGGGACCCTCCAACACATCAGGGAGGTGGGAAGAACCAGGAAGCTAGACAAAGAACTAGCAGGAAAAGCAGAAATATGGTGATACTGAGAACCAAGTGAATAAAGTGTTTTAGTGAAACAGCAATTATCAGCAATTCTTGATAGATACATAAGATAAGGACTGATAATTGACCATTAGATTTGCAAGGTCATTGGTGATCTTGATGATGCTTGGTAGAGTAAAATTAAACTCATATGAGTTGTTAGGAGGAGAGGAATTAGAGACAATGAGAAGAGACAACCCGTTAGACATTTTGCTGTAATGGGGGACAAAAAACTATTTGTTGGGAAAAGAGGAGTTGGAAGGTTTTTGTTTGCTTGTTTTTTAATTATTTGTTTTAAAATGGGAGAAATAGTAATTATGTTTGTAGACTGATGGGAATAATCCAGCAGAGAAATAAAAATTGCTTGAGCAATGTTTTTGGCCAGGCAAGAGGGATGGAATTTAGTGTATAAGTGAAGAGATTGGCCTAAGATAGGAATGTAGGCAGTTAATACATTATGATAGGAGGAAAGGCAGGTTATATGGATATAATTCTAGTACAGTAGATGCGAAGATGTGGTGGGAGCTTTTGAAAGTTTTTCTCTCATTTTTTTTTCCTCACTGAAATAGAAAGCACAGGGAGGAAGTGTTAGAAAGAGAAAAAGGGAAAAATTCATTTAGGAGAATGAGACAGTTAATAGACAAGGGAAATGTAGTAGATTTCTAGGCAGAATTAAGACCCCACTTGAGATGAGTGGTCATGAATTTGAAAGTAACACTAGTTAGCAGCCATATTTAGCTGCCCAGTTGCAGGTGCAGAATAAGTAGAGAGTTGAATTTTTGCTGAACAAGTAAAATGAAGTCAGATAGAGGCAAGTTGTGTGTATATACAAGGGAGTGACTAGACAACATGAATGCTTGTGATGGCATTATTCATAATAGCCAAAAAATGAAAATAACCCAAATGTTTATCAACTGTTGAGTAAATGTACAGTGGAATATTACTAAAAAGAAATGAAATGCTGATATATGCTGCAGCATAAGGGAAACTTTAAAGCATCATGCTAAGTAAATGAAGCCAGAAGCGAAAGGCCATGTATATGATCCACTTTTATGCAACTTCCATAATAGACAAACTCATAGAGAAAAAAATTAGTGTTACGATAGCAGCTGAAAGAAGAAGGAACAGGGAGTGAATGCTAATAGAAACTTTTTTGTTGGAGTGATGAAAATATTCTGGAATTAGATAGTGGTGACAGTTGCACAACTCTAAACATACTAAAAAATCACTGAATTATACTTTTAAAAGGGCAGATTTTGTGGTATGTGAATTATATCTCAATAAATATAATCTACTGCCTCACTAGAAATTACTTATCCCAAACTCAACAAATCAAGCAGCTTAGAAATTTAGTCTTATCTAATAATGTAGGACTGTGGTGAGCAACAAGTGACTATATTACAATGTTTACAATCTATTTTCAATTGAATTGCAGTTGTTTTTTTTTTTTTTCTTTTTTCTGAGTTGGAGTCTCACTCTGTCGCCCAGACTGGAATGCAGTGGCCACTCCCGGCCACCGCAGCCTCGACCTGCTGGGCTCTGGCGATCCTTCTGCCTCAGCCTTCCAAGCAACTGGAACTACAGGCGCGTGCTACCACGCCCGGCTAATTTTTGATTTATTGTAGAGATGAGGTCTCGCCAAGTTGCCCAGGCAGGTCTCAAACCCGCGGGCTCAGGCAATCCACTCACCTCGGACTCCCAAAGTGCTGAGATTACAGGCTGAGCCACTGAGCCTGGCCTGTTTTTTTTTCCCAAATATCTCTTAATATTTCAATGTTATTGGCTAAGTTGCTAAGGTTGTGAAGAGAGACCAATTCTGGCTCTACCCTAATTGCCTAGTATATTCATCACTCTATCTCTTCCACTTTCCCTTCAATTAACAAACCTTTACTAAGCATTTACTAATTACTAAACACTATGCTAGACACTGCTGACACAAAGATGGAGTGGACTTGGTCCCAGCCCTTGAGTGTGGAGTTTAGTGGGGAGATGAGTTTAGGAACTTGGAGCACATTTTATTTTTAGAATGAGGCTACTCTAATTGTTCTTTAACATCTTCCCATTTGTTTTGGTCTCAAAACACTGTTCCTTTTGTCTCTAGACCATCAAATATTTTTTCTCTTTTTCCTTTCAGAGTATTTTGGGGCTTATCAGATGAAAACAAAATATTTTTCTTCCTTCTGATTCTCTAAACCTGAATGTTTTTTAAAATATTATTTTTTAAAACCTGAATATTCAAAATTAGAATATATGAAAGATAAAGTATGAATACTGGTGTCTCTAAAACAGAAATAATAATGTTTACTCTGCAGGATTGTTGTGAGGGGTCAATGAGAATACATAATTCATAATGGAAGTGCCAAACAAGTACCTGTCACTTAGGAGCTGCTCAGTAAATGTATTATACTGTATTATCACTTTTCCAAAGGTTACAAACACTAATTTGGTTTATAGAGTTGAGGTTACAGATATAGACCTACACAGACAAACCCTAATTCCAAAGAGATAGCAAAGAGTTGCTGTTCATTGATGGATATTAATTGGTTCTGAGATGTTCAGAGATGGCCATATATACCTTATTGTTTAATAACTTAATTAACTTACTGTAGTCCATCAGTGTTTTCCATCTTGGGTTGTTGTATCATAAAATTGTAGAATTCTTAGGTCATGACTATGTGAAAATAGACAATTGAATAATGCTTTTTAGTGATTATGTGCTAATTATGTAGTTTGAATCTCATGTTTACCCTAAATGTAGTGTATGCTGGACTTTGAATTTACTAAAAAGTTATTTTGTTATCTTTCTAGAATGGAGCTGGTTTGTCAAAATCCAAAGGAAGCCGAATTGGATTTGATAGCACACAGTGGGTATGTACAATAAACAAGGAATTCCTCATTTACAATGTTCGTTTGTGTATTCCATAATATTTGTTGAATGGTGACAATAACTACCTTGGGGGGTGTGCAGTGTGGCTGGTTGGTAGTACTAGGGAAGGAACAGGTCATATGCTAAGTGCTTTATTTGCAGTATTTAATTTAATTATTATGGAAACTTTACAAAGTCAGTACAAATTGTTATTCTCAGGTCACTTAGCAAGATTAAGGTTAGTTGGCTGGTATATGGTTGAGTCTAGGTTCTAAGGGTCTGCCTCTAAAACCATCATTCACTGAGCTGTGGTGCTTCCATAAATGAATGAATATGTGAATCAGAATTGAACTATGCATAAGGGAAAATTAATGATCAGAAATAAAAATCTACTAAAACATAGTTCCTTTATGAGTAGAAACTGGCAATATATATAATTTATTCTTGTTTTACAAATTTCAGAACCTGCACATTTATAAAATATATTTTCCTACCTTTTTGAACTAGATTTAGAATGAAAAATGTTGCTGAATTACTAATAAAAATAACATGTTATTAGTATAATTATGGAAATGACCAGGTATATCTTATGGATATACTTTGATCATTGACTTTTCTGTAACCAGAGATGTGGAAGACTTTAGATTAGAAGTGGATTTTCACATCACCAAGTAATAGTCGTTTTAGTCATTGCTGATACCAACTAGATTTTTGAACTGTTGTTTAAAAAGTAAAGTCTAGGATATCATATTATTAGGCTCTTTGGCTATCTAGTCTAAAGTATCAATGTGAACTTTTAATTTATTAAAAATAGCAAATGTGTTGCTCTGTGAATTTAGGGTAATCTGGGGGGAAGGGGATGCATGATATACTTGGAATTAATGCTACCCAGTCATAATTATAAAGATTCTAGATTAAGTTTAAAAAGGATATTCTGGGCACTTCTCTCTAACCCTTATCTATCTCCATGCTACCCTTAAGAAACACACACACAAATATTTGGACTAGATTTATCATCCTGAGGTTGAAGTAACTTGCTGAGATTTACAATTTAGTATTTACCAACTGGGAATATGCTTGTCTAAAGGCAATAGGGGTGATTTATCATCAATTTTAACATTTTAAGATGTGATGATACTTATAGAAATACATTTTTCAAGTTTGTCATGTATTTTGAGTCTTATATGCACTGAGAGTGCAAGTTCAGAAAATAATTTTAAAGCCGTAATAACTTCAGCAGTATAAGAGATGTTGCTGTGTCTGCATTAACCAACATTGTGACAACATTCCCAAACTTTTTTTTTTTTTTGCGTTGGAGTCTTACTCTGTCGCCCAGGCTGGAGTGCAGTGGCATACTCACAGCCACTGCAGCCCTGACCTGCTGGGCTCAGGTGATCCTTCCACCTCAGCCTTCCAAGTAACTGGAACTACAGGCATGCACCACCATGCCCAGCTACTTTTTTTGATTTATTGTAGCGATAAGGTCTTGCCAAGTTGCCCAGGCTGGTCTCAAACCCATGGGCTCAGGCAATCCTCTCACCTCGCCTTCCAAAGTGCTGGGATTATAGGCATGAGCCACGACACCTGGCCATTCCCAAACTTTTTAGTAAACAGGGCAGTCAGTCAAAAAGATTATAGGTTCACCAATATATTTTACAATGGAATTTGTGTATCATTTAAACTTAAAATAATAGGAAAAAGTAGGGTGACTCCATCTTTTTCATTTAGGGAGTGACCCTTGAGGTAGGAGAAAAATATGGATCTTTTTTTTTTGAGTTGGATTCTCACTTTGTCACCCAGACTGGAGTGCAGTGACCGTTCTCGGCCACCTCAGCCTCGACCTGCTGGGCTCTGGCGATCCTTCCGCCTCAGCCTTTTAAGTAGCTGGAACTACAGGCTTGTGCTACCACGCCTGGCTAATTTTTGATTTATTGTAGAGATGAGGTCTCGGCAAGTTGCCCAGGCAGGTCTCGAACCCGCGAGCTCAGGCAATCCACTCACCTTGGCCTCCCAAAGCGCTGGGATTACAGGCTGAACCACTGAGCCCGGCCACGGACTTTTTTTTAAAAAGGGTTTACTTTGAAGGTAAATATGCAAAAAATTAAAGAGCAGCTTACTACATTCAGTGAATTCTCTTTGTACTCTAAGTTAACTACATTGCAGAGTATTAAAAAATTGTAAATGTGTTCAGTGAATCACTATATTAATTCACAAAATCACAGAGAAGGGAGAAGTACTGAAATACTTTTGTTCTAATCTTTTAGAAGGGTTGAAAGGTGAAATCTGAGGTGATATTGAACCCTGATAAAATTCTGGAATGAGTTATTAAATAGATGACTTGAGAGCACTTAGAAAAGAAAATGGTGATAATTAAGAACTAGCCAAGTCCTGCCAAATCCTTTCAGATTTGAGAAAGTTTTAATATACAGGCAGGTGAATGGCAGGCTATTAATGTCTCAGCATATTCTCTTCTCAACAAGATATTTCTCATTCTTGTAAACAAAATGAATTACTGAAGGTCAGATGATAATAGTCATGTTGATTTAGAATTAATTGGATTTAGAGTCAATTGGACATCTGTTTCCAAGCAGCATTAATGACTGTGTTCATAACAACCTGGAGGATGTCATATTTAGAGGGTGAGTTATAGAATCTCTTCTTGACCCTACCCTCATCTATATTTATATTAATAATTGTAATGATGCTATAAATATATTTATCATATTTGTATTTAACACCAAGCTGAGATTCATTGAACATTTTAAACACCTTTTATGTACTAGTTTCTATCATCTCATATTTCTTTCAAAACCATTTTTTTTTCTAGTATAAAGTACAGAAAGCAATAACTCTTAAAGAAAAAATGTCAAATTGGACTATTAAAATTTAAAACTTCTACTCATCAAAAACTACCGTTAGGAAAATGAATAGACATGCTACACAGACCAGAAGATATTTGCAAAACACATATCACACAAAAGACTGGTATCAAAGATATATAAAGAACTCCCAAACAACTCAATAATAGATTATTTTGTTGCCTTTATCAAGTTGAAGAAGTATCTTATTCCTGGTTTCCTGAAAGTTTTAAATCATGAATAGGTATTGAATTTTGTCAAATGCTTTTTCTGTATTGAAATTATCATAGAGTTTTTCCCCGTTGGTCTGTTGATTTGGTGAATTTCTTTGATTTTCAAGTACTAAAGTAACCTTCCATTCCTGGGATAAACACTGTTTGATCATGATATAAGCATTTTGCATCTGTGTTCATGAGAGATGGTGGTCTATAATTTTCTCTCTTTTTTTGGTAATGTCTTTGTTGGGTTTTACTGTAAGCATTGCACTGCCCTCATCAGATGGGAAGTACTTCCTTCTGCTCAATTTTCTGAAAGAGTGTTTGTAGAATTAGTATTCTTCCTTAAAACTGATAGAATTCACTGGTGTACCATCTGAGTCTAGAATTTTTTATTCTTGCTGTTTTGTTGGAAGTTTTTTTTTTCTTTTATAACAAATGTAACTTCTTTAGTAGATATAGGGTAATTTATGTTTTCTGCTACATCTTATGGTAGTTCAGTTAAGTTGTATTTTTTAATTTTTTAAAATTTTTGGAGGCAATTTTTGGAGTCAATTTTTTTAAATTTTTGGAGTCAATTTTTGGAGTCAACTCTGTCACCCAGGCTGAATGCAGTGGTGTGATCACAGCTCACCGCAGCCTGGACCTCCTGGGCTCAGGTGATCCTTCCACCTTATCCTCCCGAGTAGCTGGGACTATAGGCACTTGCCACCACACCCAACTAATTGTTTAATTTTTTTTTTTAATAGAGACGGACGAGGTCTTGTTATGTTACCCAGGCTGATCTCAAACTCCTGGACTCAAGCAATCCTCCTGCCTTAGCCTCTCAAAGAGCTGGTCTTATAGGTGTGAGCCACTGTTTCCAGCTTACATTGTATTTTTAAAGAACTTTGTGTATTTCATTTAAATTGTTGAGTTTTTTGGCATAAGATTGTTTATTCTAACTTTTTACTTAGCTGTTTCTCTTACTAAGAAATAATAAGCCTCTCTAGATCAGAGATTATTATATTCTTGGCATTTGCACAATACTGTACACTAAGATGATAAAAGGCTGAATTTCTAGCTTTATTTCATTCCTTATCCTTAAAATTCTTACTATTTTTATCTGCTTATTCATTATCTTACATATGTTTCTACAACTTTCTTCAAATTTTGTGAATAAAAATTTATTCTTGATTCCATGAAGCACCTTTGTAGTGAACAAGCATCCCTTTTAATTCATTGTTGCATAAACAGATTGAAAGCAAAGAAAATATGATTATTTCAATAAACACAGAAAAAGCATGCAATAAAATCCAACATCCCTTCATGATTAAAATCCTCAACCTTCTAGGCATCAAATACCTGGGAATAATAAGAGTTGTCTCTTATTTAGCCATAGCAAATACCATACTAAATGGGCAAAAGTTGAAGCATTCACCCTAAGAACTGGAACAAGACAAGGATGTCTACTCTCACTACTTTGATTCAACGTTGTGCTGGAAGTCCTAGCCAGAGCAATCAGGCAAGAGAAAGAAAGCTATCCAAACAGGAGAAGAGGAAGTCAAGTGATCTCTCTTCACTCATGATATGGTTCTATATCTAGAAAACCCTACAGATTCTACCAAAAAGCTCCTTGAACCTAATACAGTAAAGTTTCAAGATACAAAATTGACATACAAAAATCAGTAGCATTTCTATACACCAATAACATTCAAACTGAGAACCAAACCAAGAACACATTCTCATTAACAATAGCCACAAAAAAACTACCTAGGAATGCATTTAACCAAGGAAGTGAAAGATCTTTACAAGAACTATAAAACATCACCGAAAGAATTCATAGATGACACAAACAAATGGGGGGAAAAAATTCCGTGCTCATGTATTAAAAAATCAATATTGTTAAAATGTCCATACTGCCCAGAGCAATCTACAGATTCAACACAA